GGAGGAACTTCAGTACTGTTTTATAAAAGTCTGTTTATTGTTGTGTCCAATTCTTTCATTTTGGGAGCTGAATTGGGGGAAAAGTATGTTCTTAACACTATAAGAGAGAGAAATATTCCTTGGCTTTAGGCAAATGTAGATGATCTTGTGATAGGAAAAGATTCTCCCACTGGCAAGATTACATTCTTCTTTGAACAGTTGTTTCCAGTAGAAGACGAGTGAAGACAAAGGAACTGTACAGAAATGGAAGGGCATTCTTTATTTCACAGTGGAGAAAACAACGTTAAAAATGAACTACACGCCATCACTCATGTTAACTTGGAACAACCCCAAACTGTTGAATTGTTTCTGAAGTTATTTGTTTTGTGGGGAACAAATCGGGATTCTCTCCAGTGTGAGATGGTGTGTACTTTGAGGGGGGAGGGTGGATTCCCTGAAATACTAGATGTTTTCAACGTCAATTTTTCTGAGAAGAGGGCATGTTGAGATAGGAAATTATGAAGAAACAAGCCTTGGGCTAAAGTGGGATTTTCCAGGCTCTGCACTGTTGACAGTCAGGAGTGCTGTCTTACGCAACGTCTATTGTTTAGCAGCATCCATGGCCTCTACCCACAGATGCTTTTAGCACCTTCCCCCATGGGCATGATGGCCAAACACATCTCCAGACTTTGCTAAATGTCTCCTGGGGAGTGAAATTGCAAACTGTTGAGAACCAGTGGGCAAGAGGCATCAAGAAACAGTTTCCTCTCTTTGGGCCTTATGGTGTGAGGGCATGGGCAGGTCCACAGGCGCGCTTACGTCGAGGAAGTTGGAATGCGGATACAAACAGCTGGTGGGAAGTCCTAAGGGAGTGATGAGAATGGATTTGGGTGCTTTGACTTGGAAGTTATACATATAGGATGACAGTTGTGATTGTTCCTCTATGCTGTACTGCTCTGGGTTTGCTCTGCTCTGTTATTGGCCAGAGTATATCGTAGTACAACCTTTCATGACTGCACTGTGACTCAGAAATTCTAATCCTAGATATTTATCAAGGAAAGTGAAAATTTTCTCCTCAAAAAGAAGTTTATGAAAATGTTGATAGCAGCTTTAATCATAATAAAACTAGACACACTCCAGGTTTTCATCTATAGGAGGATGGATAAATAATTGATGGTATATTTATACTACTCAGCAATAAGAAAAGAGGACCCACTGATACACCCACAGCATCCATGAATATTAAAAGTCTTATGCTAAATGAAAGAAGCTTTGTGCAACAGAATACATAGCGTACGCTCTCATTCATGTGAAATTCTAGAGTAGGTAAAGCTAATACATGGATGAAAAAAATCAGAATAGTGATTGCCTTGAGAGTAGGGACTTACTGGAGAGGAGAGCAAGGGATATTTCTGGGGTGCTGACAATATTCCATATCTTAGTGGAGGTCAAGGTTATACTCATCAAATGCCACAGTTATTTCACTGTATATTCAAAATAAGAGAAAGAGGCATGAACAAATATTGATCTCTAATAAGGGTATATGCAGCAAAGTATTTTGCAAGACATGTACTGATATTGTGAATTAATTTGTAGCACACCACTAAATAAATGAATTGATGGATAGAGAGAGGAATAGGTGGATAAATATGTGATAAAGCAAGTACATTAGAGTATAATAGCACAATCCAGGTGTGGTGGACTGATTCATGGACTCTTAACTGGATGTCCTCAGGTACATTAATCAATGCTTTTGAGTCTCAGTTTCCTAAACTATTAAAGGCATCTTTTTAAGAGAATTATTAGGAGCATTTGAGGTAAGATGTGCATGCACATTGTAACTCATGCTGTGCATGCTGATTATAACTCAGCAATGTTCCGTGTACTTTAAATGAATGTAAATCTCATCTTGTTTCAGGAGGGTATGTATTCTTGCTTCCTCATTTTCTAGGCTTGAGCTGGAATGAACATTACTTTTGGTATTCTGATTTTCTTATCTACAGAGTTGAGGAACAACTGCATATTTTTCTCCTAATTCTTCTCTCCCTATACTCAAAAATATCACGGCAAAGTCTCGTCTGATAGTCAGTTATCTTTCTCTTGTTTTTGGTTTTTCTTACTATTCCTCACCTTCTCTTCCTTCACAAGTTGAAGCTACTTCCCTGTTGCTGTTCCCTTCTGGGAAGTCCTCTCCTGAACCAGTCATCCTTGGCCTGTGCTGACACAGAAGCGGAGCGCCTAAACAGGGCTGACTTCTCCATGATTTAAAAGAATTAAATGACTTCTAAAACACTCTCAATCTGGGAATAACTAAGTCTGCTGTTCTTAGCATCAGAGTGGCGGTGCTGCGTGGGATGCTGAAGCACAGCCTCTGTTAGGAGAAGTCCATCTTCTGTTCAAGTACAGCTCCCTACTGATGCCCTGAACAGCATCTGGTTCACACAATGCGATCCAAAGGTATCCTTTGAATAACAAAAAGAGATTAAAAATAAAGAAAATAACTAGGAATAAACTTTGCAGGAAACGTGGATGGTCTGTATAAATGTTTTTTTAATGCTGCTGAGATACACAAAAAAAGTCATGCCATGGGGGCCGGCCCCATGACCAAGTGGTTAAGTTCTTGCACTCCGCTTCAGAGGCCCAGGGTTTTACTGGTTCGGATCTGGGGCATGGACCTAACACTGCTCATCAAGCCATGCTGAAGCGTCCTCCCACATAGCACAGCTAGAACGACCTGCAACTAGAATATACAACTATATACTGGGGCGTTCTGGGGAGAAGAAGAAGAAGGAAAGAAAAGAAGATTGGCAGCAGATGTTAGCTCAGGTGCCAATCATAAAAAAAGATTCCTTTAAAAAAAAAGTCATACCGGGTTCTGAACAGAAAGTGTTGACATCATAAAGATTCCCGTCCTGCTAAATTACACTGAGTTATCATATTTGTAATAAAAACAATGAGATTTGGGACGAGTAAGGAAGTAAGCAAGTTAATTATAAAATTCAGATGGAAAAATAAACATGCCAGGGAAAAAAGACATCTCTGGAAAAAAAAAAGCAGTGAGAGGAGGGCATTGTCATCTACATTAAGTCACAAATTCATGGCAATATTTTTATACGGCACATGAATGCACAAAAAGATCAACGGAAATTCTAGATCTAGTATCAAATGCATTAAAACATTATATACTTAAAAGTATATAATTGTCAGGAAAAGACACATATTTTGATGAATTTGGGGGAGCAAAATGGGTAGATATAAGTAAAAAAATAATAAAACTGGGTCCCTACAACAGACTTTACTGAAAACAAAATTCAGAAGGAAGAAAATATTTCAAAGTGAAAAATAAGTCATAAAAATATTGGAAAAATAGGGACCGGCCCTCTGGCCTAGTGGTTAAGTTCACGTGCTCCACTGCAGGAGGCCCAGTGTTTCGTTGGTTAGAATCCTGGGCCCGGACATGACACCGCTCATCAAGCCACGCTGAGGCGGCATCCCAGATGCTACAACTAAAAGGACCCATAACTAAGAATACACAACTATGTACCAGGGGCTTTTGGGGAGAAAAAGGAAAAAAATAAAATCTTAAAAAAAATTGGAAAAATAAAGATATTTCCTTTATATTCTCAGTTTAGCGAAGATCTTTCTAAATGTGACACAAATTCAAAAACCACCAAAAGCTAAAATTATGACTTCATAAAATTAAAGCATTTTGGAAAACAAAACATCACAAAGTCAAAATAAAAACAACACCATGAGAAACAAACTATTTGAAACTCTATTATAGGCCAAAGGCAATTATCCTTAGTATATAAGGGATGAGAGAAATTTTTTGCCATGTACTTCAATTAGGAAAAGATTAACATCTCAGCAAAAAAATGTCCAAAAGCTATCAACAGATATTTTGCATAAAAAACAATACAAGCTTAAACAATTGATTTATTTTACCTAAGAGAAATGCAAAATAAAAATTTGTTGGGATACACTTTCTTGACTATTAGATTGATGATCAAAGCTAAATATTTCACTGTTGGCCATTGGAACTTGAAATTGGTGAAAACTGTTAAGAACAATTTGGCAATATCTTCCAAACTTAAAAATGTATATATTCTTTGACACAGAAATTCTCATCCCTGGAATTTATAGTAGAGATATACCAGTGTACGTGCAAAATTAAATATGTATAAGGATATTTATTGCAGCATTGCTTTAAATATCAAATGTTTGGAAACTAAATAAGTCCTCTTTAATAAATGTTGCTTAAATAAATTATAATATGTTCATAAACTGGAAGACCTTGTAGCTACCGAAAAATGATGTAACTGTATATACTGCTATGAAATTATGGCCAAAATATTGTAAGTGGACAAAAAAGATGCAGAAGAAGGACTATTTTATGCTGCTGTCTATGTAGATATGTGTTTCTGCTGACAGCAGAGTGTCTGCGTTGCCCCACCGGAGGGGCATTGTTTCCACCACAGCCCGTGTGCCTGGTGTGCCTAGTGTGCCTGGATTGCATGGTGCTGAGCTCCTCCCGCCCTATGTCCCTGTCCTGTTATACGGGATAGACTCCCTGGAAGGATATACAAAGGTGGTACAGAGATTGCCTCTGAGAGAGGAGCTGACTGGCTTCAGAAAGGGATGGGAGGGAGATTTATTTTCCGTGAACATTTTTGTGGAAATTTTTAATTATGTTCTATGTGTACTAATACCTTTTCACAAAATGAACAAAAATAAATCTTAAAAATTAATAATAAAGTAATGCTATGCAAAGTAACCTGCTGGATAAGAAGACCTGACCGTGCTGTAGGTAAACATTTTCAGTTACTGCTAAGTTCCCTTTAGTGGGCTCTGCTTGACTCTAGGGCACCTTATTTCTTCCTCGAACACAAACATGTTTCAGTCTTATTTCTGAGAATAAAGTGCCACTTAGATCTAGAATGTCACTTCAGGGGTCAACATATTAGGTAAGCAATATTTCCTTCAAGTTTTGTGAACGATTATTTATAGTATTTGTAGTTTAATTTTAGGAAAAACATCTAGGAGAATTGCTAGTGACCTCCACATGGGTCTCACTTCAGATGTAATTTCTTTACTGCTGACCTGAGAATCCAGATTCTTTTTTAAAGCCATGATATATTTTCTTTAAAAAATGCTATAAAGTTTACCTGCAGTCTAGTTTTTGAGGGCTGGTAGAAAAATGAACTGTTAATAATTTTAAAACGAACTGACTTTCATAGCGGCACACAAGTTTGAACCCAAGGCTAGTGGCCTGCTCCGTTCCCTATTACCTATTGATGCTGTGATCCTTGTTCATATAACTGCATTCCCTTAAAAATTGGCATTTTCCATGATTGAAGATAAAGCCATTTTTCTTTCTTTTTTACTGAATAATGTTTGTTTCCTTGGTTTCGTTAATAGCAAATTCCACATTGAAAAAAAGTCCAATAACCTACAATCAGCTCTGTGATTTCGAGACTTGTTCCCAGGCCATCATTCCGCAGGAGACTGTCTTGTGTCATCTGTGCAGGTGCATCCAGCACTGACGGATTCAGCAGAGCCAAGGTCAAAGGGCAGGGGAAAACAGTAAGGGACGTCCTGTTTTAAAAAAAGGTATTTAGAGGATTAAGAAATACAACATAGTATCAATAATAAAATGAAAATATGCTGAATACAGACATAAACATAATAACGGAAAAAAAGAATGATCAAATATGAACCAAATATTTTAAAAAATTAAAATATCATATCCAATAAAAGCTGTGTTAGATCATGCAAAGCACCATGTATAATGAAGGAGACAGATATATTAATATGAGTTTTCATTGTCTGAAAATGCATTTTTCAAGAATGTGTTTTGATCTCCTTAATAAACATCATTGAAATTTCTAAGTGGACATGATGTTAATGATCCTGTGGAATCGAATGGTATTTTATCATAAAATTTTAATTTTTAATTTCTCCATGTATTAGATCTGATTTTAAATATGCTTAAGTTGAGTCAAAGTTCATTTATTCCTGGTCCCCTATAAGAGACTTGACTTACCCACACCTGTGTATATGTAAGAGACCGTGTGTTCTTCATTTGTATATATATAAAAATGTGTTCATGTATCCTTTTACTCAGTTACTGCTACTGCTGAGGGATGTGTGTGTGTTGTGTGTGAAGTGTGTATGTGTGTTGTTGTATGTAACATGTTTACACAAGAATGCCACTGTGTCAGGTAAGGAATACAGGAAACCTAAGACAAGAGAATTCTGTGTTCATATCCTGTACCCATTTATCATTCGAATTTCCACGAGGTGCAGAAATTTTTTGACTGTTATAAGTACTATTCTCTTGAAGATTGTGGCTGTTGCAAATATCTTTTTTTAGTATGTTACCTGTCCATTAACTTTATTGATAGCGTTCTTTATTGAGCACCAATCTTTAATTTCGATGTTGTCAATTCATCATTTTTTCTGTTACGATTTGTCCATTATGGGACTTACATAAAAAGTCTTAGATATGAAATTTTAGATATGGTGATAGAAAATAGAGAAACATTAGTTTTTATCACTAGATAAATCAATTACAATAATGTGATATTTGCGTACAGTGTAATACTGTGGAACATTACAAAGTCGCTAACCAGATGCACACAAAGCAACATGAGTAGATCTCACAAGCACAGCTCTGAGTACCAAAAATAAGGAATGGAGATATTTTTAATACAGTCCAATTTATGTAAATCATGCTATTCTTTATTCAAGAATACACATATAACTATTGGGAGCTGTACTGGAAGGACATGTATTTAATATATGGGAAAAAGTTCCCAAGAGAGTGAAGAAAATGGAAGTGTGGATTAAGTATAAAGTGGAAAATATTGAAATAAGGCAACAGAATGATCATGCCCTATATCAACTGACAAAGACATTGTGGTGTGATTCTTGCAGTAAAGACAATTGGTTACTGTAAGACTGGCCTCTGAAAAATGAAGCAGACGTGGAGCATGGCTCCAGCTTGGAGTCTATACTTTAATAGAATTGGTCAGACACACATGTACATGGCTAACTGTTGGCTTCAGGTAGAAATGATGAGTGCCATGTCAAACCACATGGATGCTCATTCAAACAGCGTGTTGACAATTGCTTGTTGAGCACCAACCATGTTGGAAGATTCAGCAGAGGACCGAAGGCCAAGGTCTCTGCTCTTGGAGAGGAGACAGTGAATAAAGAGAGACTGTGCCTCACGGAGAGCACCCCGCTACATAAAGAATGCCTGTGAAGGACAGAGGGATTGGGGGGTTTCTTTAGACTGGGTTAGGGGAGGTCTCTCACAGAGGTGACTAAGCTGAGATTGTGAACAGAGGGAGCCAGCGACACAGAGTGGGAAAACCATTCCTGCCAAAGTGAGTAGAAAAGATCTGGGCCCCTTCGAAAGCCTGAGATTTTCTAATGCCTAGTGGAGCGAGGAAAGGACAGACTAGTAAGAGTTCTGACATACAGGGGAGTAGACACGTACATTTTCTTTGCCAGGCCAAGGGATTTTTATTTTAGTCTAACTGTGATTGAGAACTATTGAAAGTGGTTAAGCAGGGGAGTGAGATGACCATTGGATTTGCGCTTGTGAAAGATCGGTAGAGCTGCCGTGTTGGGGACAGATTATACAGAGAGACAGTCACACTGAGGAGACAGCACGGGGTGGGAGCAGAGGCGAGAAGACCCAGTGCCTCCCCCACATTTCTGTTCCTTTTGAGCCAGACCTCCTGGCCATCCTAGCTAACAGCTATTGTTGGAATTTCATTTGACTGGAACTAGGTCACAGGTCACGTCTAACTTTAAGAGAGACTAGAAAGTGTAGTCTTTTACTAGAAAAATTGGCATTTAAAAAAAATCAAGTATCCTGTAACCGAGGAAGATGGAAAAAATAGATAATAGATAGTAGGAAGGAATTCGGTGTCTGCCACTGAAGGAAATAGTTCCATTTGTGGGACGTGGTTTGCGGATGTATGGACGAAGGCCTCAAGCACAACACCTGAGAAGCAGAACCCACCTGTGTGACACAAATGGGGAAACCGTGTCATATACATCTAAACAAGTCAACACAAATACCCTTAACTTACAACCACCAGCCCAAGCCTTGGCAGCAAAATGGGATTTTATAGAAAATACATGAGCAACTCCACCACATGTGGCGTTCCATCCCTGCCTTGTTTCTCTTTGCTCGTGCCCCCACTTAGAGCCTCGCATCAGGAGGCAGTCACCTGCTGGGAAACTATGTATTTGCGAGAATAAAGCGTCACCAGCCCACACTGGGTAGTGAGGAAGCAGGAATAATACATTTGGACCCTGGACAGCTGGATTCCAAACCAGATAACCAGATTGTCCCTATACAGCTGTGTGACCATCGACATGTACTTCCCCTCTCTGAGCTTCAGACTTATCATATCCACTACAGAGTTCTGGGAGCAAGTGCCTCCAAGGCCCCACTGGTGAGGGTAAAGAGGCAGACAGAAAGAGAACAATGACGGCTGGATTCTGGACCTCTCACCCAGTTGCAACTGAGCAATTAGACTTATACTGCTTTCCTGTGATTGAATCAATGGACGTTTTCATTCAAATAAAAAATTTAACAACATCAAACAATTTCTAAGTCCCTCTGAGCTATAAAATTCCATGATGGCAGGTTTTATACTGCCAACTGCAGTACGTGTCGTAACGAGAGAGGAGAATATGGCCAGTAGTGTCCACCACGAGGGGCAGATATGTAGAAACCCCGTAGAAATAGTTAACAAAGGCTGAAAGACAGTGTAAATAAAAAACCTGCATGTAGTACGATTTTAATACAGGAAAAACTTTGTCGACAAAATAACTTGAGGTTTCTATCCACTGGGTTTTTTGTCCATATCTAATTTTATGTATACTTACCTCAAATACTGCTTGAATTTAAAATATGTCATTTTCTTAGCCATCCACAGAAAAGTAAGCTTCACATATACTAGACATTTTTATTTCAAAAATTAACTGATTAACTTTATTATTAAAATATCATCTAATTTCATATGTTACATTTCCTTTAACAAATACTAAAATATCTATGGTTCTGGCATGCAAACACTGAGAAAAATGTAATAAGAACTGTTAAGTCTATTTGCCTTTCATTTTAATGTCTTTCTATTTTGCATAAACTGAATTTATAAATGGTGATAATTAGGTAAACCACAGAACATAGACTCAGGAAAAACTCTAATCAGGTTTTGGGTCCAGCTGGTACTCTTAAATTTTTTATGATGCAATATAACTCAACCATCTAAATTCACACTTCAGGTGAAAAACAAGTTTGAGGAGCTTCAAGAGAATTAACTTTCCTAGCAAATCTTAAAATTGCAAGACCATCACCAAAGAACTCTGGAACGACACAAGGGTGATAAGAAATTTCACAGTGTCACAGGTGTCACTTAAATTCTTGGTGTTGCTTTTTGTCTCCTATTAAAGAAAACAAAAAACACTGGTGGCATTTTTCAATTGCCTTCCACATGCAACCATACTTGTTTAATTAGCATTCAGGTTTTTTTCTGAAGGGTAAAGTTTATTAAGCAAGAAGTGCTTTATATATTAAAGGGAGAAAATGTTGAATTTTGACCTGTTTGCACTAATGCTAGAAACATCAAAAACTTTCCATTCCATTGGGATTTATTAGCATGATGGTAACTTTTTTTTTTTTTCCAAGGAAGATTAGCCCTGAGCTAAAGTCTCCTGCCAATCCTCCTCCTTTTGCTGAGGAAGACTGGCCCTGAGCTAACATTCATGCCCATCTTCCTCTCCTTTATATGTGGGATGCCTACCACAGCATGGTTTGACAAGCAGTGCATAGGTCCACACCTGGGATCTGAACTGGTGAATCCCAGGCTGCCGATGTGGAATGTGCAAACTTAACCACAGGGCCGGCCTCTGATGGTAACATTTTATTGAGCACATAATACATGCAAGGTATTGGCTTAAGTAATTTAGATACATTGTCTCCCTTAATATTCAAAGCAACCACGTGCTTCAGTAATTTTTTTGTGTCTAAATGTACCATTTATTTTATGAGGCAAACACCATCAAGCCAGCCATTTCCAGGAAGACTGTTTTCATATAACTTGTGTTCTATTTTCAGTGACCAAGAGTGTACAAATATCATAAATAGATCTATAGATAGATGAATAAATTTTAATGTTTGAAAAACTCCTAATAGCAAATGTAGTTTTAGATTTTAAGCTTATAAGTATTTTCACATACTTGATTTCATGTAATAATCACAACAACATGGAACTCAATGCAGCACCATTATATACATTTTTTATATAACTAACCCTAAATTGAAGAATTCACGGTACGCCAAAGTTCACACGGAGGTGACAGGTGTTTCTTGAAAGGGTGCTCCAACCCCATCTTCAGTGCTTGTCCCACCATTACACATTCGCACACTGTCGAAGAGATAGATTTCCCTATTTCAGTTGGTATCCAATGAGATAGCCCTGGAAAACGATTCATACTCACTATACATGCATTTCTTCACGGAAATAGGTTTTTTTTTTTTCCCCCTTTTTTTTGTACAATTCTATCAGTTGAGATAAAATGTATCAAAGGACAAATACAAATCATCCTGAAAAAAAGAACAAACAAATTAGCACCATATTAAAGGCTGCCACATCTTTTGGAAAACTAAACTAAACTAAAATAGAAATTCTAATTAAAAATTACAAACAAAACACATTTAAGGATGTGAATATATAGACTCGTAAACTAACGAAAGCATTTCTTTCATTTTTTAACCACTGTTAGGAATTCCTTAGTCAAATCCCTCAATTATTCTGTATATTATTATGGATTATTATATGGTATGTAATTATTACACTACACATTATTGCATATATTAGAGTATATATTAAGCATGCTGATGTCAATATGATGACATATTTAGTTGAAAAATTTTTATCTGTGCTTTATTTTTAAAAATAATTGATAAATTCACAAATATTTGAAGTATTTTTGAAAATATTTAGAACTTTGAATAAAACTATTTTTAATTACCTAAATCTTAAAAATAACTTTAGAATAATGTTAAGTAATAATATAAAACATTTGTACTTGAATTAACTCTTCAAAATTTATGAACATTGTAAATCTTATCACTTGTAGATTAAGCTCATAGTATCAATTTACTATGAAAAAAGTTGTGTTGCAGTTATTAATTTTAATCATCCTAATCACTGAGTCATAGATGAAATAGCCAGTGATGCATTGGATTATATCTTAGAAAGATTTTACCGGCATGTTCAGTCAATATATTCATTCCCTGAATGTAGCTACATATATTAACGTATATATTTCAGAGCCTAAGTCCTTATCACTGTAAAGTTTCCTCTTGGGAGATGAATTTCCAGGGTCTCATGCATTCCTCTCCCACCAAGACAAACTGTGCAGCATTCCGCTGTGCTCTTAATGTGTGGGCATTTATCTCTTCCCCTGAATGGAAGATTATACTGGGTTATTTCAAATGTTCTATATTATCCTATGGTTCCAAGAAGGAATCCTTTATGGGGGTCCACATTGAAGTCAAATTTACATTAGCAATTCACTACAGAATGATTGACTTTGGTGAAAACTTTGAATATTTTAGCATTCACTAATCTGGTTGCTCAATTACCCTGTTCTTTATGGTATATTACTAGAATCCATTGTCCTCACTAAAAGCTTACTTTGAAATTTTATTAATATGTCATGAAAAAAATTATCAAAGTCTCTGTGGAACTTTATAAGCTAGACAAATAAGTAGACAGACATATAATATTCAGTTTTCTGGACTTCATGGTAAAAAACAGTTTCTGTGCTGAGAAATAATTTTTATAAGACTACCTGGCAATAACCCTTTAAAACGAAATATATTGTTACAACAGTTTCAGTGAGTATGAAAATCCCTGGCTGCATCTTGAAAGAGAAACTGAGGTGGGTGCTGTTTATTTCCGGTGTTAGGAAACCCTCCTCCGTTCTTTACAGTGGGAGCCCGCCTTTGAGTCTCAAATGACCAAGTGTGCGATGACCTCATGTATGTCTGAGCTTCAAATGACTTCAAATTTTTCAATATACATAAATAATACTTATAGAAATTTCAGAAGTTTCAAAATAGTTTTCATAATTTCAAACAAAAATGTAAAATGTTTCATCAATTGAGATAAATACTAATAAAAGTACTTTTATTTTATCTCATTTCTGACATTTGGAGAATAAAAAGATAGTAGAAAAACTGAATCATGATAATAATTTGGTTTGATATCTTTTTAAAATTTATCTCATTCAAAATAACATCTGGCTGTCAGTTCACAAAACATTATTTCCCAATTTCCCTCTAAAACACATATGTGAATATTTTTTAAGGTAAAAACTATAGTACTAAAAATTAAACTGTATTTCAATAACATGTAATCTGAAGAATTTCAATATGATTGTATGAGATTGATTAAACTCACGTGCTATGTTGGTTTTGTAGAGTAGAACTGAGGCCCTAAAAGATGGCGGGAAAGTCTTTTCTGGTTTCCATGTGGTGTATGGTTGAGTTTATCAGTAGGGACAATCTGTGGGTCATAGTTATTCAGACGTACAAGATCTTTACCGATCAGAAAAGGGAGTATATTCCCTTTATGCTCCCAAAATTTCTCCCCAAAATCCCAACTGGTTCTTCTGTTAAATGTACTTTCCAGAATCAGAAGTGATTATGAACAGGGCAGAAAGCAAGAGAATTTTCCTGAAAAGATGTCACCTAGTAGTAATAAGTATGCAGGGCCCTTCGGGTGTATTGCTGCGGGTGGGCGATATCTGTTTAGCTCATCTGAGATCCAGGCTAGAGGAGAGCAGGACTCCTCCCCACGCTAGACCTTCTCTGTTCTAAGAATCTTCTGCGACAATGGTGCATGTGCTAGAGCTGGGAATATCGAACAGGTGCACTTTACAGGATTCCTTTCTACACCTGGGATACAGAAAGACAGAAAGAGCATTGCTCCATCCTTTACAATAACAAAGCTGGAAAACGGAAAACACGCAACTTTTCTGTTACCATCAAAAACTGAGGTTTCAAGAAAAATAGTTATCCTGAAATCTAAGGAGAGACCACCAGAACGTGCTAGAAAAGACAACTGGTCCAGGCCAAGTGTGGGCTAACAAGAGAATATAGAAGCACAGGGATCAAAATTGAAGGGGAATGCGTAGCTGTTTGTAGGCTCTCATCCATGAGCTTTATCACGTTCTCATAAAAACGGGAGTCAGTCCTGAGAAGCTTGTCTGGGAGTGCAGGCCTGAGGGAGGCGCGTCACAACGCTGGAGATGTGTGAGATTAGCCATCCTCTCCCCAGGGAACAAAAGCCATTAACTGACAACAAAAAGAGACAAAGACAGTAAAACAAAAGAATACTCCAGACCAATATCCCTCGTGGAGATAGACAGAAAGATCTACAAAATATTAGCACGTTAGAATCCAGAAATATACAAAAAGAATAATATACCATCAGAAAGCAGATGAACCAAGGCAGTTTCAACACTGAAAAATCTAGTTCATGGGGCCGCCTGGTGGCTTATCAGTTAAGTTTGCATGTTCCGCTTCAGCGGCCCAGCATTTGCTGGTTTGGATCCCGAGTGAGAACCTCTGCACCACTTGGCAAGCCATGCTCTGGCAGGCGTCCCACATATGAAGGAAAGGAGGATGGGCATGGATGTTAGCTCAGGGCCAGTCTTCCTCAAAAAAAAAAATTCTAATTCACCACATTAAGAGACTAAAGAAGAAAAACAATTTTCTCATAGTTGCAGAACAAACTTTATCATCTACTCATGATAAAATGAAAGGAAATGACATACAGTTACAAGGCTAAATAAAGTCCACCTATTATTTGGTACAAGATAAAGACATTTTCTCTTAACACTCTTATTCAACATCACACTGGAAGTCCTCACTGGGGCAATAAGTTGAAAAAGAAAACAGGAGAGCCAGCCCTGACGGTCTAGTGGTTAAACCTGGGTGCACTCTACTTCCACCGCCTGCGTTCGGTTCCCAGGTAGGGAACCACACCACTCACCTGTCCGTGGCCACGCTGTGGTGGAGGCTCTCAAAGAAGAACTAGAAGAAATTACAACTATACACCACGATGTACTGAGGCTTTCAAGGGGAGAAAAAAGGAAAAGAAGGAGGAAGAGCGGCAGCAGACCTTAGCATGGGGTGAATCTTCCCCTGTAAAAAAAAAAAAAAAGAATGTTCCACATTTGGGATGTGGCTGATTGCTTTCTCATGATGTCATTTAAAAAAAGAAATAATGAAAAAAGAAATGAGAACAGATTAGAATAGAGAAGAACCGTCTCACTGTCTCTATTTAAAGATGACATCATCTATGTAAAAAGAATCAACAAAATTGCAAAGAGAAAGAGCTCTTAAATTTAATAAGTGACCCTAGGAAAGTTGCAGGAAACATATGAATATGAAAATATAGATTGTATTTTCATATGTTAGAAATCATCTTGGAATTTGAATTTTAAAAACAGTACCAATTGTAATGGCAGCGCAAAAACAAAGTGAAATTCTTAGTCATAAATCTAAGAAAATATCTGCAGGTTCTTCACATGGAAAATCATACAACATTCATGAAGGAAATCAAAGACCTAAATAAGAAAACACTTTGTTCATGGGTTGAAAATCTCAAAATTATTACGAAAACAATGCCCTCATTTGACCTATAGATTCATCCTGCTTCCAAAAAGAATCTGGCAGAAATTTTGTAGATATTGACAAGCTGATTCTAAAATTTATATGGAAAAGCAAAGATGCCAGAGTAGTTAAAACAAAAGAAGGATAAATTTGGAGGATCCACACTGATTTATTTAATAAAAAGTAATTTTAATGAAGATCTTGTAGTATCAGTAAGCAGATAAACACATCGACCAATGGAGCATAATAAAGAACTCAGTGATAGACCACACAAATACTTCAAGAGATTTTTGGCAAAGGTATAAAGTTAGGAGTTTTTGGACATCCACATGCAAAAATTAATATTTATAAAGCCTTAACCCATCCCATACTTGAAACAAAAATGTGCTCAAAATGGATCAATCTAAACGTAAGACATAAAAACGCAAAGCCTCTAAATAGAAACACAGGAGAAAATCTTTGTTATGGTGAGTTAAGAGGAAAGTTCTTAGATATAACACTGAAAGCACAGAACATTTGCAAATTGTATAGCTGACGAACATTGTATTTGTAATATATATGAGGAAATCTCAAAACTCAGCCATAAAAAGCAAATATTTCATTAAAAAAATGAGAACATATTTGTATAAACCCTTCACCAAAAAAGATATTCAGGTGGTAAACAAGCACATGGAAAGAAATAACTTAGGGAGCCATATTAAGAGGACAGTCAGACACCACCACACACCTATCAGAAGTGTTAAGGAATACCCGACAGCACTAAGTGTTGATAAGGGTGCAGCTAATACATTGCTAGTGGGGATGCAAAATGGAAATAGCTGCTTTGTAAAGTAGTTTGGCAATTTTTCATGAAATTAAATATTTTCTTATCATATTCTCAGCAATCTCACTTCTAGTTATATATGCTGAGAAGTAAAAACTTATGTTCACACTGAAACCTGTATCATAAAGTTTGCAGAAGCATTATTCATAATTTCAACAAATGGAAACAATCCAAATGTCCTTCATCCAGTGAATAAATAAAGGAAATGCAATGTATCTGTACAACAGAATGCCACTCATGAAAAGGAGTCGACTGTGCACAAGACAGGATGAATTTCAAACACATGTACGAAATGAAAGAAGCAAGCCTCAAAAGTCTACAAACTGTATGATTCCACTAGTAAAACATTATATAAAATTCAAAATTGTAGAAATGAGAACAGATTAATAGTTGTCAGGGTTTTGGGATGGTGGGAAACGTTGACTGTAAAGAGCTGGCAGGAGGGAGCTCTTCCGGCAATGACACTGTTCTGTGTCTTGATTTTAGTGATGGACATCTGATGATGGTACTTGGCCCTATGCATGTATCAAAATACCTCAACTGTACTCCATAAAGAGTGCATTCTACTGTATGTACATAAAAAAAACTGTCATAAAAATTCCTACAAATCTATACGCTCAGGAGAAAGCTCCCTCTTTTAAGCAAATTTGCAATCCCTCCCATGCTTGCTGCAACGTGGGATTTTCTAGGCTGATTAAGCTCTCATATTGGGACTTAGCTGACTTCTCAAAAGTATATCAGCACACAATCTGAATTCTAACTGAATGATGTTCTCCAAAGTGCAGAGGATAATGGTGTGACAAGCATTTTACCATGAAATCACTAGGTCAAAGCTTTTCTGCTTGCACTACCAAAATCTTTGATCCCTACCTCCCTCCATGGATCACCAAATCAAGATCCCTTTTTAGGTTTTGGCACCAAATATATTTGTTGAATTAGATTTTGCTGCAAGTGTACAGAAAGCACCCAGGATATCATGGTAAAAGGAGATAGACAGTTATTTCTAACTATTATGAAGACAGATCTGTAGGTAGGCAGCACAGACTGATGGAACGGCAATATTCTTCATCAGGGATCAAAGCTTTCATCTCTTGATTCCACCATTTTAGTTTAGTTTCCATTCTCAAGTTCAACACGTGGAATTATACGTTGGTCCCCCAATCACTATGCCCAAATCCAATTCTAGGCCAAAAGAGGAAAGTGATGGAGGACAAAGCAAACTGTGGAGGTGTGCTGAGTCAGCTCACTTTCAGAAGCATTCCCAGGAATATCAACCAGTGCAAAGCTAATCAGCCAGAATTTAGTTCCATGGACATCTTAGATGAAAGGTAGCTAGCAATAATCTTTTAGATAGTCTTCCTGCCATAGCAGAATTATAAAATATCTGGAGATGTAAAAGATAACCCCCAGGTTTTAGGACTGAGCAAACAGATAGATGGTAATGTAATTATCTGAGATATGGACACTGGAGACCCAGATGAGGCATAAAAATGGGACAATTTTATGTTTTCAGTTTTTGACACACTTGAAAAATTCATAGAAAGGGGTTGAGAAAGCAGTTCTAACAGGAGTCTGCAGCAAAGGAGAATCTGGCATCAATATCACCTTCTTCCTTCATCATTGTGTAGACGGTGGTTGCAACAAGGGTAGGGCAGACCTGGACAAGATTTCCTATCATCGAAATGTAGAGGGAGAAGAAAAAAGGGCCCAGTACTAAACCCTAAGAATGCCAACCTGTTAAAGACTGAGAAGGGAGGTTAAGTCCACAAAGAAGACACAGAATCATCCTTCCCACACAAACCAGGAAAATCATGAAGGAACGGCATCATAAGGTCAAGGGAAGTGTCCCGAGAGGGGGATGTGCCTTACAGAGATCAATTTCTGCTAGGAGACCAAACATTATTGAACACTATCCATTGCATTTAGTGACATTGTAGCTAATAGGATTTTTTTTTCCTTTTTCTTCCCAAAGCACCCCGGTGCATAGTTGTGTATTCTTTGTTGTGGGTCCTTCTAGTTGTGGCATGTGGGATGCTGCCTCAGCGTGGTTTGATGAGCAGTGCCATGTCCGCACCCGGGATTCGAACCAAAGAAACACTGGGCTGCCTGCAATGGAGGGCACGAACTCAACCACTCGGCCACGGGGGCAGCCCCTGATTTTTTTAATATTATGTAGACATTCATGTAAGTTTAAAATCAATATAAACTAAATGGTTTTATATAAAATTGGATTAAAAATCCAGATGGACAAAACTTACCAATAAATGTAAAAAATAAACATATATCAAAAAATAATCAAACAAATAAAGGATTTGG